CTCCCAGTGGGGCTCCAGGCCAGGAACACCCAGGGGCATCGTCGTGTGGGCCAGTGTCAGCCGTGTTTGTTTGTCACAGCTGTCCCTCATTCCGCCACCATGCTGCAGAGGGGACAGAAGTTTCCCAGCCACCCACGGGCACACAAGGGTCCAGCCCGGGGGGACATCAGACCCCTGGGGCTGCTTGCTGACCCCCAGCGCACACGCGTGTTTTCGCCTCTGCAGCTGTTTACAGCCCCAGTCCGAGGTCCCTCCCGCTGGGGCTGCAGCAGCTGTGCAGGGGGTTTGCGGGTGCCTGCTGCTCGCTCCGCGTTTCTCCCCACTTTTCTGGGGAGAAGCGCCGGCTCTGGGGTCCCCCCTCTGCTTCCCCCTGACCTGGCCTGACCCACCCTGTCACAGAAATACTCAGAGAAGATACCCCCTGGGTAAGACCGTTGTGTCCTTCATTCGATCAGGGGGAAAAACAAACAAATGCCAGTACAGGACTCAAAATACAAGGAAGCCAGGCTGGTTACTGCGGATTGAACAGGTTTATTAGGAAAACAGGGAAACGAGCCCCGCGTGAAGGTCGGAAGGTCGGACCGTGAGAGCCTCATCCCACCAGAGACCTCCCGGGAGTCCTCAGGGCGGGTTTCCCGCCCGCCCCCCTCTCGGGATCAGACTCGGGGGGGGGGGAGGAGGAGGTGGGCGTGTCGCACGCGGAGGGTCCTGGAGCGCACGTCCACAGCGGGGCTCAGAGCGCATGGCCTCCAGACGGGGGAACCCCGGAGTCCAGGCGTGGGGGTGGGTCTCCCGGGTGTCCTCAGTAGTAGTAGCCCCAGCCAGAGCCGTAGCCGCAGCCGTAGCCGCAGCCGTAGCCACAGCCCAGCCTGCGGAAGCCACAGCCGTAGCCGCAGCCCAGGCCCCCGTAGCCCCAGCCCAGGCCTCCGTAGCCGCAGCAGCCGTAGCCGCGGCCCCCGTAGTAGTTCCCGTAGTAGTTCCCGTAGTAGCCACACATGGTGCAGGCGGTGAGGGTGTCCGTGGGCAGAGAAGGGCTGTGGGTGAGTGCGGTGTGCAGGTGCTCCCTGCAGGGCCCTTTTATGCGCCCCGGCGTGGGCGGGGCCCTCCGCTCGCGCGCACCCCATTGGCTGACGCGGTGACTCAGCTAATGAGCTTGTGGTTTCTCAGCGGGAGGACACCGCCTGGGAGGCGTGGGCGCAGGCAGAGCGGGGTGCAGGCGGTCTCCAGGGGAGCCTGCCCGCCCCGGAGTCTGCTGGGAGGAGAGCAGACCCCACGCAAGCACAGGGGCCGGCCCGGCCCCGAGTGGGCCTCCCCTGCAACCTCCCGCAGCGTCTTCACATCAGGGAGAACACATTTGCTGATCTCACTGCTGTTTGCTTTTGGCCCCAGGCAGTTTCCCTAATTTATTTATTTATTTTTTTTAGCATTTTACAAGAATAGCCTGTCTTTTGACTCATGGGTTTGTCTTCTCTTTATCCAAATCAATTATCTTCAGGCATCGAGTTCCCGTTCTCTTCTGATGCCACATTATCTCTCTCACCCCACGATGCTGCTAATAATCCGACTAATTAACGTTCCCAAAAGCCCAGCCTGAGCCATTACGCTTTTCTGCTCTTCGTAATGACTGCGATTTTCTTTTATGTGTGACTTCTGCGGAAGGGCTGAACCATGGAAGTTATTCCTCCCATGACATGTCTCTGCAGTTTTTTCTTAAATGGGACACGCGGTTGCAGAAATTAGTGCTCTCATTAACACGAGGCTCACAGTAAAGCAACTACCCAATGAGCTCAGTGTCGTACGTGTCTGTGTGTCCCCGTGGTGGGTCTCTTTATCCAGACACCCACCCACTCGTCGTCTCTGTGACCTTCAGGCTGAGTTGTCCTGCGCAGACCCGGCACTACCACCGCCTTTGTTCTCCTTGCTGTAACGACCCCTCCCACTGGGGGCGCTGCGGAGGGAGAATGGCTTCGACGCAGAGACAAAGCGGACGCGGGAGCGGACCCCGGGACCCAGAGAACCGGTGTGGGGGCGCCGTTCTTCTCACAGTGAACTGCCGCCCATCAGCAGGTCTCTGTGGCTCCGATGTTTCCGAGGCAAATACTCCTTGTGAATCCACTCGTAGCCTCAGGCGGACACAGAGAGTTCAAGGTGTGGGACACACCCTGTGTTCTAGCCAATTCTCCTCCTAAGAATGCGGACACAGTTTTTTAAAAGTTTCCCCAGTTCTCCTGTCTTGATAAGCAGTACATCTAATGAGTCAAGAAATTTCCCCTGGCTGGCGTAGCTCAGTGGACTGAGCGCGGGCTGCGAACCAAAGTGTCGCAGGTTCGATTCCCAGCCAGCGCACATGCCTGGGTTGCAGGCCATGACCCCCAGCAACCGCACATTGATGTCCCTCTCTCTCTCTCTCTATCTCCCTCCCTTCCCTCTCTAAAAATAAATAAATAAAATCTTTTAAAAAATTCCCCCTAACAAAGTAGAACGTTTTGATGCCGTGGACCCGCAGAAATGCACGCAACTCTCCACCCACATGCGTTCGAGTGCTTCATGAGTGTCTTTGGGTGGGTCCCTTCCTGTGGAATAGACGAGTTATGGGCTGAGATGGGGTCATTCGAGGACCCCTCGCCGCGTGATTTCACGTCCCCAGCCCAGCCAGGACGGTGCAGCCACTAAAGCAGCAACTTGGAACTAAGTTTCCGGGGACAAGGCAGTCAGTTTAAATAACCTGGCGGTGGGCCTTCCTCTGGGCTGAGTCCTCAGACAGTCCCGGGAAACGGGCGCGACTCAGCTGCAGAGGTCAATTTAAGAAGAAAACTCCACTTGACTTGGGCATTTTCTTGGTATTTGATTAAAGGAGCTATAAAAGGCATTATTATTTTTGTGGACTACAGTGTCCCTATTAAATAACATTTATTATGTTACATCTCCACGGACTGACTTCCGCGAGTTCATCTGACTCTTGCTGAGAGTGGAGTTGTTCTTTCTAATCGTGACACCTCTGCAGCCGATGAGCTTTCTCCTCTCCTTTTCCGAATTATGTTTAGCTCTTCAGTACGTTTCATAATCAAAAAGAGAACAAAATGATCCCTCTGTCTCTGCAACTGTCTGCAGCTACTACCCCGCCTTCCTCCCGGTTCACCGTGCAGCCCCCGCCCCCGACCCGCATTTCCGGGGCGGATTCTGTTCTCCGTTTCCCCCCTTTCTCCCCGCTTGGGCCTGGGGCCGCACCCCTCCCCCGAGGCGGCTCCCGGGGTGGGGGGGCCAGCAGCGCGCCGCAGCAGCGTTGCGGGTCCTAGAGGTTGGGCCTTCTCTACGCTACCGGCGCTCTGAGGGGTTGGGGCTCGCCAAGATCCCTCACTTCCAGACGCTCTCGGCCCTCGCCTGCGTCCTGCTCTCACGTGCGGTTTAATTCCAGCGCGCCCCGCTGCCCCCGTCAGCGCCCCGCTGCGCCCGCTCCTTCGGGTTGTCCTCGGAGGCCGGAGGCCACAGCCCCGGCGGCGGGGTGCTGCCCGGCGGCCCTGGTTCCCGCGCGCACTCGCCTTAGAGGCAGCAGCGGCGGCCGGTGCAGCGCTTCGCCCGTGCCTCTCGGTTCACGTCTGATGCTCGCCCTCCAGGGCCGCCCGCGTCTCCCGCCGCCGCTCCACCTGGAATGCGCGCCCCTCGACAGTGGGGGTCTCCTCTGCGCCCCTCACTGCTCCCGCCCGAGCATTCAGAGCAGCGACCCCCAGACCGCCCACTCCGAAGGTTTCCTCGCAGAAGACCTAGCAAACGGTGGAGTCCATGCAGCCCGAGGGCGTGTTTAAACTCTCCCCCAGCCTTTTCACTTTAAAATTGTTTTATTTGCCAACGGTTCAAAAACAGCGAGGGCTTCAGCCTGTCCCCTGCGCCCAGTCACACCGGCGTTACCGTCTTGCGTGACCGAGCGCCATGGTCAGAACTAACAAACCAACATTGTGCAACACCCCTGACGGACCCCCACACTTCGCTGGATTCCTCCCTTTCCCCTCCGCCGCGCTTTTTATGTGTCCTGGGGTCCGGTCCCAGACCCCCCCCCCCCGGGACCTAAACTCATGTCTGTCCGCCTCGTCTCTTTGGGTGGCGGTGTCCCCGTCTTTCCCTGGCGTCCGTGGCAGCCTGGAGCGCCGAGGGTTTGGCAGGTGCGCGTCCGTCTTCTCACAGCGCAGCGGAGGGTGGGGATCTAGGACACGAGCGCCAAGGAGATGTGCCCGTCACGTGTTGTCCTCGCGGGAGGTGCTCGCAGTCCGTAAACCTCTGATAGTTTTTGGAGCAAACTCTTAAGCCGGGATTACTAACAGAACAAATCCTTCTACTTCTGCATAATCGTGGTCCCTGGGTTTGAGCTTCAGGGACCCTGCCCCGGCATTTGATCGCACACAACGGGACGGGGGCAGGTGTGCGGGACGTGGAGATCCAGGTGGACCAAGCTGCTCCGCACAAGAAGCACGCACCGCGCTGACCGTCGGAGGACCTAGAGCGGAGCCGCCGCGCCTTCACCGCGCCTCCGCCCGTCCGCCCTCTCGCCTTCTCTGCAAGCTTTCCGTCCTCGCCGCCTCTTTGAAGCCACACTCTGTCCCCAAGGCTGCACCTGTGCAGGTAAGAAGAAGGATGTCATTCAAGGGAAAAAAAGAGTTTTCCAGGGGTGGAGCCTGTGTGGGTCAGTTACATGATGGCATGGCAGCTGGTAACCACACAGTTTAGATTTCCGTCTGGAATGGACAAGCCGCCCGACCGGAAGAGCCTTTCCCGAGAGGCCCGTGATTGCATCACAGGCGCCGGACGCACGGCAGCATTCTCCGGCAGGGGCTGGTTTACGGGGAATTCCTGAGATGGCTGCCATGCCAGTGAGGTGGAACACGAGGTCAGCAGTGTTTGTGGTTTGTCCCACTTCCTCCCCGTCGGTATATAAGGCCCCGCGTTGACCGTGAACTTAGAACGCTAGAAATCGACTCTGCTCTCCCACTGGGTCTGCTCCTCACACCATGAGCTTCTACAACTACTACGGTGGCCTCGGCTGTGGCTGTGGTGGCCTCGGCTACGGCTGGGGTGGCCTGGGATGTGGCTACGGCTGGGGTGGCCTCGGCTACGGCTATGGTGGCCTGGGATGTGGCTACGGCTGTGGCTGCAGATACACCTGTTACCGTCCGTGCTGCTATGGAAGATACTGGTCTTCCGCCTTCTTCTAAGGAGCTCTGGGTCGCCCCTCTGTTCAAGACATTCTCTTGTGAAGGACTCCGTGCACCCCGGCATTACTTGCTGCTTGTTCAAACAATGACATCCGGACCTTCGGCTGCCACGTAACATCAGAACCTTTGTGACAGAAATGACCTGCGTTTCCGGTAGCTTAGAAAAACATTCACGTGGCCGTGTCACTGTCACGGGATTGGGTACGGCGAATGCGATCCATTTCCTTTGCAGAAATGTGTAAATTCGTCTTCCATTAAAGGCAGCCTGCTTTGCACACTCACCACATCCTCCCGTGGGTTTATTTGCACAAGCTCTCTGTGTCTGTGTGTGTGTCTGTGTCCGTGTCTGCGCCGGCCGGCCCTCCGGTTGCTCACAGTGTGTGTTCCCAGGAGCGGTCCCAGGGCCGCGGCCCGCTGCGCTGGTCTGACCACAGCTCCACCTCTGGCGGAGCGGCACCTCTTCACTCCGTTTCCTCAGCATTTCGTTGTCTCTTGATAAGTGAATGTGCCTCTGGGCGGAGGCCACTTTTTCTTCTAAACTTTGTGTCGTTGCCCTTTCTTGCCACTCACTGAAAACACGTTCTTGACCTCAGGCTTCGCAGCTGCTCAGGCGGCCCGCCTCTGCGGCACTCACGCGTTGTCCCGGGCCGACGCGGAGTGCAAGTCCGCTCCGGCAGCCGGGGCTGGAGGCCTGGCTTCGTGCAGAGCGAGGAGCGCTGGGCCGGGCCGCGCACGCCTGCCCCGAGGTACGGGCTGCCGGGCGGAGCCCTAGCCCGCCTGGGCTGGGTCCTGTCCGGGGAGCCGTGTGCGGTGAATTCCCCTAATTCACTCCATTTATGAGACTGAGTGCTAATGATAATTCCAACAATGATAAACTATACGCCAATCACATTTATTAATGGGCTAGTAACTCATTTTGGAATTGGGGGTATCTAGCACAATGCGTTCATGAAAAACTACTTTCTGAACACAGATGAAAGTACGAGACTGACCCGAACCCCACCCTGCACCAAGGGCACGCCTTCTGGAAGCATCTGGAGGAGAGGCTTTTACGGACACATCTCCTGCATCAGCTGAAGTCAGACAACCCACGGGAGAATGTGTGATTGCAGTTTTTAAACTGTATTGGCTCTTGCTTTTTTCCTAGCATGTGATCTGTTTTGGAGAACAGTCTCCGTGGGTGCTAGAGAGAAACGGGTGTTCTCTTGCAGTTGGGCAGCACGCTCTCTAGAAGTGCGTTAGGTGTCACTGGTTTACAGTGTCTCTCAGGTCTGTTTATACTGAGACCTACGCAGTGGCTCTGTCCATCATCCTAAGTGGGACATTAAAGCCCCAATCACGATTAGAGTGGCCTCTCTCTCTCTCTCTCTCTCCCAATTCTGTCAGTTTTCGATGTGTGTGTTCTGGTTACACAAATCAGAAAGTGTTGTTAGGTACATGTTGATTTTAAATTGTCGTATCTTCCTTATAGATTGCCTTTTTATTATTACAAAGTGTCCCTATCTCTTTGAAAATTCTCTGTTTTGAAGTCTATTTAGAGACTTCTGGCTAAGATGGAGGTGTAGGTAGGCACATTGCCTCCTTGCACAAAAAAAGGAGGACAACAACAAATTTAAAAACTAAAACAACAACCAGATGTCACAGAAAGTTGAACTGTATGGAGGTCCAACAACCAAGGAGTTAAACGTCCATCCGGACTGGCAGGAGGGGCGGAGACAGGCAGCTGGGTGGAGAGGGCTCTCGGCAAGGTGGCGGATGGATGCCTAGGGCGGGCAAGGTGGCGGCTGGTGGAGCAGGTGGTCCCACATTCTCCTGCGGATAAACTGGGGGGAATAAGTGGGAAGCAAGACAGACCACACAGCCCGGGGCTCCAGCTGGGGGAGATAAACCCTCAAAACCTCTGACTGAAAACACCTGTGGGGGTGAGGCAGTGGGAGAAACTCCCAGCCTCACAGGAGAGTTTGTTGGAGAGACCCACTGGGTCCCACAACACACAGACCCACCCACCCGGGAACCAGCACCAGAAGGGCCCTATTTGATTGTGGGCAGCTGGGGCAGTGACTGAGAGCCGGCGGAGAGCCGAGCAAGTGGCAGTGTTCCCTCTCGGACCCCCACAGAGCTACGAGGCAGCAGTGACGTGGTTTGCCCCACCCTGGCAAATACCTAAGGCTCTGCCCCTTACCACATAATGGGCATGCCAAGACAAAAATAATAATAATAAAAAAGGCCCAAATGAAAGAACAGATCAAAGCTCCAGGAAAAATACAACTAAGTGGCCAAGAGATAGTCAGCCTATCAGAAGCAAAGTTCAAAAACCCGGTAATCAGGATGCTCACAGAAATGGTTGAGTATGATCACAAAATAGAGAAAAAAGTGAAGGCTATGAAAAGTTAAATAAAGGAAAACATACAGGGAACCAACAGTGAGAGGAAGGAAACTGGGACTCAAAACAATGGTTTGGACCAGAAGGAAGAAATAAACATTCAACTAGAACAGAGTGAAGAAACGAGAATTCACAAAAACAAGGAGAGGCTTAGGAACCTCCAGGACAACATTAAACATTTCAACATCCAAATCATAGGCATGCCAGAAGGAGAAGAGGAAGAGCAAAAAATTGAAAATTTATTGAAAACATAATGAAGGAGAACTTCCCTAATCTGGTGAAGGAAACAGACTTCCAGGAAGTCCAGGAAGCTCAGAGAGTCCCAAAGAAGTTGGACTCAAGGAGGAACACACCAAGACACATCATCAAGACACATTAAGTTACCCAAGATTAAAGATAAGGAGAGAGTCTTAAAAGCAGCAAGGGGAAAGGAGAGAGTTAAATACAAAGGAGTTCCCATAAGACTATCAGCTGATTTCTCAAAAAAATCTTGCAGGCAAAAGGCTGGAAAGAAACACCCAGAGTCATGAAAGGCAAGGACCTACATTGAAGATGACTCTATCCATCAAAGCTATCATTTAGAATGGAAGGGCAGATAAAGTGCTTCCCAGATAAGGTCAAGTTAAAGGAATTCATCATCACCCAGCCTTTATTATATGAAATGCTAGAGGGACTTATCTAAGAAAAAAATAAAAATATGAACAGTAAAATGATAACAAACTCACAACTATTAACAACCAAACCTAAAAACAAAAGCAAAAACAAGCTAAGCAAACAACTAGAACAAGAACAGAATCACAGAAATGGAGATCACACGGAGGGTTATCAGTGGGGAGGGAGGGGAGAGGGGAAAAGGTACAGGGAATAAGTAGCATAGAAGACAGGTACAAAACAGACAGGGGGAGGGTGAAAATAATATGGGAAATGTAGAAGCTCAAGAACTTACACGTACGGCCCACGGACATGAACTAAAGGGGGGGGAATGCTGGTGGGAGGGGGTGCAGGGCAGAGCAGAGTAAAGGGGAGAAGAAAGGTGAGACAACTGTAATAGCATAATCAATACAATGTATTTAAAAATGAAAGTAAACAAAGAAAGGAAGGAAAAAATAAAGTCTATTTAGTTCGACACTGTTATGTCAATTCTGGCTTCTCAGTAGTTGCTGTTTACATCCCATGGTATACATCATTTTAAAGCAGAAATATGTGTAATTCTTTCCCTTTCAACCTACTGGTTTCAGGAGACTTTGGTTACTGAGGCATTTTTAAGATGGCTGCTTTAAAATCTGTACCGGATAATTTGCACATCTGACTACCTCAGCGCCAGGGTCAGTTGATTATCTCAAGTTGTAAGGTTCCTGCTTCTTGGTAGGAAGGTGTGGTTGAGATGTCGTGTGCCGGGGGCATCTCGGTCTCACTTCGTCTTTATCTGCGGGCGTCCCCTCGCTCCTGGCTAACGTGGGGGCCTGTGGGCTGTGGGTCGTGACTCGAGGAGTCGCTGCTTTGTCCCTTCCGGTTGGCTGGGCGTGCCGCGTGTCCCCGTCTGTCCCCCGGCGCTGCTGCTGCTGCCGGAAGCACAGAGGGCGTGCATCTGCCCGCCCGTCTGCTCTGTGTCCCTCGCGCGGCCGTGGGCAGGAAGGGCCCCGCTGCCGCCTCACTGCTGAGATGTCCCTGGGGCGGGGTGGCCGAGTCCCGGTTTTCGGGGGACAGGGTCTTCCCGGGCTGAGGGGTGACCCTCAGTCAGTCACACAAAAACGCAGCACACGCACTGTACGGCTTGCCCCTGAAGCAGCGATTAGAGGGGACTTACAGCTCTACTGTGTTGGTGTTAGAAAAAAGTGGTATTTTAAAAATCAGTGCTCCAAGCTTCTTTAAAAAGTTGGAAAGGAAGAGAATTTAAATATAAAGAAAGAAGAATGTAGAAAAATAAAGACAACCGTGGTATCAATTCAATAGAAAGTGGACAAACTATGAAGAACATCAATAATACACAAATTTGGTACTTTGATCAGATCAATCAAATTGATACATTTTAATCAGATCAATCAAGAATATAAGACAGAGAATACAAATGATCAATATGAGGAATAAAAGAATCACTGTCTTTTTAACATCTTACGAGCACCAAAAATAGAAGTGGATATTATGGAGAATTTATATCAATATTTTCCACAATATAGGTGAAACACAAAATTTCTTTCACATACACACATTTCCTAAACCGACTCAAGAGAATCCGAACAGCACCTATCTGATAAAGAAGATGCATTTACAATTAAACGTGCCTTTCCAGAAAGAAACTTCTAGGCCGAATGTCTTCACGGGTCAATTCTACACAGCATTCTTCTGGGCAACTTCAGAAAACGGCAGTAGCTTAGGGACTGGAATCCCAGTATTTTTCCCCTCTCTAGAAAGTAGTGAATAAGAAATAAACTTGCATTTTGTGCGTGAACCCGAGTCTTGTCGCAGTTTCCGTGTCTGTGTCTACGAGACCTAGACAGATGCCCTGGTGCCTCATGTGAGGCTCCGACACGCCACGCACAGATGCCCCCACAGCAGCCCTTTCCCAGGGAAAAGCTGCCGAACCTTCAGGCAGGACAGTGAGAATGTCCCGTCCCTCGTCCCAGAGCACCGCCAGTGAGAACCAGCTTCCCGATCCCTGCCGGGGCAGGGGCCGGGCGCCGCGCTTTCTGCCTCTGTTGTCCGTGGCCGGTGTGCTGCCCTCCTGGTGGGGCCGAGACGTGCGAGTGACTTTGACAAGCGGAAGGTGGCAAAGGTAACGCTGCATGTGTATACACGGGGGGATCCCATAGAAACTAGAATCATCTTCTGGAGGGTGGGCCCCTGGTAGGACAGGCTTCTCCCACTGGGTGGAGGTTCTAGGAACCCACCTGTATCCGCGCACCAGCTGGTGTGGTTGTGAGAGGCTGCGTTCGGCCTCAGTGAATTGTTTCTGAAGACTCTCTCACTGTGCTTGCCCGTTTGGTGGGGGCGGTTTATGAGCATGCCGGCCACACCACACCGGGTGATCTGCTGATTTTTGACTAAAACAGCAGGAGCCCCATGCCCCGCCTTCCCCGTTCACCCGATCTCACCCCGAGGGACTTTCTATTTGTTTTCCCGGATGACAGAAGCCCTCCAAAAGGAAGCACCTTGCCGACGTGGAGGAGATGAAACAAAGAGACAGCAGAACGCTACGAGGCGTCCACACCGACGAGCTCAGAGCCCGTCCTGAGCCGTGCGGGAGGCGTCTCGCTGGGCGTATTGCGTCGCATGGCGAGGACTGGGAGGGGGCCCGGAGTCTAAGCACGTGAGCATTTGAACAGACACTCAGTTTTTATGAATACTTCCCGATTCGGGGGTGCCCTCCCCCATGCACGACTGTGTGTGTGTGTGTGTGTGTGTGTGTGTGATCACGCTGCTGCACCTGTGTGGGGGGGCCGCAGCGCCATCTCCCTGGGGCCCCCGCCTCCCCTCTGGCTCTGCGGAGCCAGCGGCCACATCTCGGCACCCACAGGGCAAGAAGCTACCGCAGACGGCCTCTGGGGCCGCGGGGGGCCTCCTGCACCACCAGGGCCGAGCCCCTCGGTGACGCCCCGAGCTCCACCATGAACGTGAGCTTGGAGGCAGGTCCTTCTCCCACTGAATCTCAGATGAGACCTCAGACCCGACCAACACCCTGGGTGCTGCACGGTGGGACCCCAGAACTTTGTCTGCCCCAGAAACGCTGCTTTTATCCGGGTATCACGGCCCACCATGCCGGCCAGAGAGGTTTAACCCACTGGTCCTTCAGGGAGGGGGAGCTTGTAAAAGTATTCTTGGGGGCTCTTTCGAAAGATGTTCAACATCACTAGTCATCAGAGAGATGCCAACGGAAACCACAGTGAGACACCACCTCCCGCCTGCCCGAACGGCCGTCAAGAATAAATCAACAACGAGTGCTGGCGAGGACGTGGGGGAAGGGGACCCTCGTGCATAGCTGGTAGGAATGAATGCAGACTGGGGCAGCCACTGTGGAGAACAGTGTGGAGTCTCCTCAAAAGATTAAAACTAAAACTGCCTTGTGACTCAGCAATTCCCCTTCTGAGAATATATCTGAAGGGACCCAAAACACCAATTTGAAAGAACCCATGCACCCCTGTGTTCATTGCGGCGTTATTTACAATCTCCAAGACACGGAGGCAGCCCAAGTGCCCATCAGTGGACGAGTGGGTAAAACAACCATGGGGCATGTACACAGCGGAATGCTACTCAGCTGTGAAGAAGAAAAAATGTTGCCCTTCGCGACAGCGTGGACGGACCTGGAGGGCGTTACGCTGAGTGGAGTCAGCCCGCCAGAGAGACACAGACACCGCGTGATGTCACTCCCGTGTGGAGTCGCTGATCGAACTGCAGTGACACGTGAAACGGAGACCGGTGTCCAGGTGGCGGCTCTGGGGGGTGAGCGGGGGCGGGGGGACCGAGCCGACAGAGGAGGGACTCTTGAGCGCGACACAGTGGGTGACTGTGGGGGCGGGGGTGTGAGGGGACTAACCGGCGACGGAAACACACAGTGACAGCTTTTTAAAAGGCAGGACGAGAAGCAGAGGGTGCACGACACTCTTTATTTTAAGAAAGGTGTGAACTGGGCGTTGGGGGAGTTACGGAGTTTCTGTTCTCACGAACCGCACGGTGCCCAACTTGGCTCTCCGGTGAAGTCACCTTCTGCTCGGACAGTCCCCCTCACGGCGAGTGTCACCCCTCGGCAGCCGAGGAGGAAGCGGAAGTCTACAAAACGCAAGTCACTTTCGGGCAAACCGACACCAAACTGTCAGCGAGAAGCTGGAGACGCCCAACCAACCGCTGAATCTGAGCTGGGGCTGCCGCCGGGAGAGACATGCTCGTTAGGTGCACAGGGGCGGGGTGCGGGGGGGAGGACCAGCAGCCACACAGAAGGCTCCAAGGCGGATTCGGGGGCATCAGGGTCCATGGAGGTGCGCTCTGCTCTGTCAGAGCCACGGGTGCCGTGGGATGACGTCCTACCAGCAAAAGGAGTAGCATCTTCGGTAGCAAAAGGGTCGGAAGGTACAGCAGCCATAGCCATAGCCCAAGCCATAGCCGCAGCCCAGGCCTCCGTAGCCACAGCCATAGCCAGAGCCATAGCCACAGCCGTAGCCACAGCCATAGCCAGAGCCATAGCCACAGCCGTAGCCACAGCCATAGCCGCAGCCCAGGCCTCCGTAGCCACAGCCGTAGCCGCAGCCGCAGGAGTTCCCGTAGTAGTTGCAACACATGTCGGCAGAGGGTGAGGTTTAGGTGTGGCTACAGAAGGTGCTTCTGAAGTCGACTGTCCCCTGTGACCCTGGAAGCTTTATATACGGACCAGAGGGCCGGGAAATGTTGTTTATCTGGTGACTCATGGCACAGATGCTTGTCCACAGCCCTGTGCGTGCCGGTCGCGCCTGTCGGCTGACGGTGACAGGGCTTGGCGTCCGTCCAGGAGCTGCAGCATCTGCTCTGGACGAACCCACCATCACCGCCTCTGGTTTCGTTGGGGACCGTGTCTGTCTTTTGTCACCTGGGCATTGTCTTGAGCCAGTCGCAAAACTAGAGGAAGAGTTCCCGAACCACCCACCCATCTGGGCGGGGGTCCAAAGCTCGGTTCTGGGCATTGGGCTCCGGGGAGGGCAGGGGAGCCTCTGTCAGAACGCGGCCGTGAAAACGGGCTCGGCCGACCTCTCCGCCTGGCTCGCTCATTGCCGGCGAGTCTGTGGCCGGCGTCATGGGCACGCAGGGCTGCCCCGCACGGGAACGCCCCCGCGTGTTGAGGTTACGGAGCCCCTGCGAGTCCCGGTGCTCAGAAGTGGGGTGCTGTCGTCACAAAGTGTCTCACCCCCAGCGCCACTCCTGGGTGAATGTTTATCAACGCTGGGTGGTCGCTCAGCTCAGCCCCGAGAACCGACACAGACAGAACATTCCACAATAACCCTGTTGCACACTCTGTCAGTCACAGATTTCCCCAGTTATTTCATCTGTTTGACGTGAATAAAAATGTGAAAGTCGGCTAACTTATAAGAACTGATGAACTAAAAGGTTAGGAAACTCCCCAAAAGTCTCCCAGCGGACACGCGGCCCAGGTCCAGCGTCGGCCCCTCTGTGCGATGCGGCCTGGAGCCCCCCTTCTGACCCCCGGGGGCTGAGCACCTGCCGAGGCCGGGAGCTTGCTGTTCCCTGTGGGGACCCCGTCCCCCGGGAGATCACCGGGTCCAAGTCCCCGTGTGTGGCGGAGTCTCCCGTCACTCCTGGCGTGGCTGTGGGTCCGAGATGAAACTCACTTCGGCGTGTTGCTGACCAGCCAGGTCCGTCAGGAAGGGCTGATGGCACCTGTCACCCTCCCCCCCCGTCACCCAGGGCCGTCTGCCTTTGGGGGCCACCCCCCGGGACTGGGCCCCCTCCTCCCTGCATCGGACGGGCACGCTGGGACACCCAGGTCCTCCGAGAGGACACCTCTCACCAGAGGCCGCGGAGGACAGGAGGCAGCTGGTGTAGGCGACCACAGCAGGAGCGGCTCAGAGCAGCGGCCTGTGACCACCCCACAGCCCCAGGGGACCCGGGGTCTCAGCCCAGCCTGACCGGGGCCCCCGCCCCGAACCTCCCGACATCACACCCACGGCGTCCGAGGGACGTGAGGAAACGGCTTCGGTGTGAACTTCGACCTGGGCCGCCGGGTCTGCAGGTCGGCCCCTGACACCGCAGCAGGCACAACTGTACCAAACAAGGAATCGGTTTTTTTAACTGGAGTTCACACTTGCTCATTCGAGTGTCGGACGCCAACCCCGCGCACAGCCACAAAAGTCACATCTTTTCCTCGACGTTGGAGGCGAGTTGAGTTGCAGGCCTGTCCCCGGCTGAGGGGGCGGGGACTGTACTTGGCCGTGTGTCCTCAGGGGTCACCGTGGCCTGCCCACACCTGTGCTTTTGCTCCTCACGCCGAACTGGTGAAGGCGGTTCCTCCCAGACAAGCTGCCGTGGCGACAGGTTTCGGCACAGAGGCATTTCCTGAAATGCACGCCCCCCCCGGCCCCCCCCCGCCCCCCCTGGGGAGACAGCGATTCCCTTCTGGTGTGATGGACCAGCTCTCTCCCATCCTGCCTCCTGAAGCGAGAAGTTTGTCTCTTTCCCGGGAAGGTTCCAGGCCCTTCCCTCTACTTCCCTGCAGTCCCGGCCTGGCCTCCGTGTCCCCCCTGCACCCCGTGTGTGCAACGATGGCGCAGGGACCGTCCGATCTTTGCGGCGAGTGTGGCTTCGCCCTCCCCGCACGCGTCAGAAGCAGATGAAACTCTGAGGTCCCTGTTCACGGCACACAAGGAAACGTCCTCTGTTGGGAGCGGACTGAAGGTTTGTGGATGGGACCGCCCACTCACCTAATTTATAAAAATTGCTTCCATTTCTGCGAGAGCAGCAATCAGTCTGCCCATCCTCCTCTGCCCTTCCTCTGCTCGAGACGGCAGTTTCCTTCAGGATTCCTGGGATCCTGGGAACACGACATGTGTTTAACCTGGGTGGTTAAACTTTGACTCCAGTTTTTGGAGACTTTTCACGCCCCGCACGAAGACCAGGTTTCTGAAACCAAAACACCCCCCGGGGCTGCATCCCCCGCCCCCCTGCCCCCCCCAGATGCGGGTGCACGAGCGTCCCCGGGTCTGCGCTCTCCTGGGCCCCGCATCCCCACCGTCATCCCCATCGGGCGGCAGAGCTCACGTGCATTCCCGAACGATTTTCGGTGATCCCCGAAAACCACCTGGGAACAGGTGGCCCTGCCTGGGTCTGGGCACAGCCGGCAGGAACGCGCCTCATGAGGGGGTCGTCCTGGTCTCGGGGGGGTGTGTCACCCATCAGGAGGGCACCTGGGTGGGGCGCTGTGTCAGGACCATCCCCTCCCTCCGTGTCTGTGCAGCGCGTCCAGAGAGACGCCGCTCACCCGCCGCACTAGTCTCCCCGACACCGACCCCCGGCCCTGCAGGTCTCCCCTGGGCACCCACCCCGCGTGCCCCACGTTCCTGGTGCTGAGAAGAGGCGCAGACCCGTCCAATAGCACCTCTCGGGGCGCTCCCCCTTCTCCCCTCCCCCCCCACCATGGGCATCTGAGGTCTGGAGGGTCCTCCCTGCATGGAACCCTGGGGTGCTCTGTCCCCTCTCACTGTCGGTGGCATCACCCACCCCAGACTCCCCGGCCAGTCCCCAGGTCACTCCGACACCTCCCTCGGAGCCCCCGCCCCCACCCGCCCACGTGTCCACTGTTAGCGTGTCCTCTGGGCAGCCTTCCCTGGGTGTTGGACTCCGAGTGTGGGTGCAGGGGTGCGGGAGGGTGAGGGTGCGGTCAGAGAGGGCAGGGAGAGGCCGGGAGACCGGGGTCAAGGGGCACCGACCTGAAGGATGAGCCCTGAGTGGAATGGATGAATGGAACCTTCCTCAGAGACAAGACCGGTGTTTTCGGAGACGTTATCGGAGCTCCTTCCAGGCCGACCGTGTCCAGCCCAGTGTCCGCGGTTCTCGGCTTCCTGTCGCCGACGGTGTCCGAGTCACAGCTCTGCCCTCCCGCGTGTTTGCCGGTCTGGCGGCTTTTAGCGCCGGCCCCACAGCGCCAAGGATCCGCTGGCTGGAAAGTGGCCTTTGTCATCTTTCTTCCAATCCCGTGAAAGTTGCTTTTGGCGTGTGGCCAAGTTGCTTGTGTCTTTCTTGGTCTTTCTCCAACTTTGTGGGTCTCGTGCAGCCATTCGCACCGGTTTGCCCAGCCACGGAAGCGTTCGCCCTCTGGGGTCTGACTCCCCGCGGGTCTCCTCACCCCGGCAGGTGGAGCTCTGGCGTCGCCCGGCGTCGCCCGGCCTCGCGCAGCCTCCAGGGATCGCGTCGCTTGCAGGGAGCAGGTGTTACTCCCGGTGCACTTGGCTGCGCGCGAGTGTCTTGGTTCCGGTGACGCGGGCACCAGAGGGCCACTCAGCGACCGTCAGAGCTCTTTCCTGCGTCAGCTTGTTTCTCCTCCTCCTGACGCAGAAACCGCAGCCGCTCTCTGGAATTCGGTCTCCGCCGTTCAGCACAGTGTTGACGCGGTGCTGCCCGTCCTCGGGCCCGAGAGCGTCACAGGCAGAAGCTAGCCTGGTAGACTGGAGGGCGCCCACGGGCCCGTGGGCGGCTTCCTCTCCTGGAAGCACCTGCTGTGGCCCCGCCCGCAGCGGTTCTCCGTCTGTTTCGTCCCGTTCCACCGGCCGGGAGGGGGGTCCCGCACCCCGCTCCTCTGACAGAACTCCTGTGAGTGTCTCTGCTCTGCGCGTTTGAAAAGAATGAAATAGCTTTCTACTATTTTTAATAAAAAGTCAGATTGCATTGTAAGTAAAAGAAAGCAAGTTGAATAATAACATACACAATGCTCACATTTTTATTAAAGTTGTGTAATATTTGGCATTTATTGATACACTATTATAACATAATTGATGTCTTCAATGGTGATGGAATGTAATTCTTAGAGCAAGAGGAGGATATTAAAAATAGTTATTTTAATACATAATTGCCTGTAAATATTCGGCCCGTTCTGTCTTTCTGCACACCTGGGGCTCAGGTGTTCCAGGGGCGTGGACCGGAGCCGGAGTCCCTGCGCTGGCGGGGCGGCCAGCACGCCGCGAGGTGAGGGCGCGGCCCGGAGAGGGGCGCCGGGCAGTCCCCCCTCCCGTCCCTGTCCCGGAGAGATGTCCTGTGTTCCCGCGGACCGCCAGTGCCGGCTCTCGCGCCCTTCGCCGGTCCGGGGAGCACCCTCACATTCTCCAGCAGCAGAACAAGCCCAGCGCAGGGGTCCCACTGCCCCCTCGTCCGAAGTTCTCTCCCCGCCGGGGGTCGGACACGTCTGGGAGCGGCCGGCGGTGCACGGCAGCGCTGTCTCAGACACTCACTCGCCTGCCGCACCGGCGCAGAAGGCCGAGGCTCGGCGTGGTGGGGGGCCGGGTCTGCTCCCCGAGGGGCTTCCTGGGGGCCCGGACGTGACTCTGCTCCATGCACGGACTGGTGTGAAAACCACAGCACTGGGCACTAAGTTCGTTCTGCGCCTGCACAAGTGCCTGGACTTATCACTCGGACAACGTGCAGGCTCCCCATCACAGCACTCCTCCGAGCGTCCCTCGGAGACGCCTGCTCTGCAGACGCCCGTGGCTCCCAGGCGCCCGCTGCCCGTGCCAGAAGCCGCTCCTTTTCTGAAAACGGACCAGCGCCCCACGCTCTTACTCGTCCGCCCTCCCCACCTCCG